TGGATGGCCAGCTTTTCATCTTTCATGATATTGGGGAAGTTTTCTGTCAGCAGTTCCTCAATGATCCTCTCTGTGTTTTCTGTTTTCTCCCCGTTCTGCAATTCCAATCACTCGCAGATTTTTGCTTTTGATTGTGTCCCACATCCGCCGTTTCAAGTCTGCTTCTCAGCCCTTCTATGACATTGTCCATTTCTGAAATCTTGTTGTTTATCTTTTGGATTTCTAATTGTTGTCTTTGTATAATTTCCAATTTTTTGTCCGTATTTTCCATGAATTTGTCTTTTTTTTTCCTCAGCTTTCTCACTCCATTTGGTGCTTGGCTGAGTTCTTTATCTCTTCATTTGATGTTTTAGGGTTTCAGGATTGTTGTGTGCTCTGTTCCGCTTAGTTTTTCAGATCTTTGCTGTGGAGGGATGGCATGGTGCTTCTGCCTAGAGCGCCATTTTGCCGGAACTCCTCAGCACCATTCTTAATGTGTCATCCAGATTATTTTCATCCCAGGTTCTTTCTACTCTCATTTTTAAGAGATAAGAGTATGGAAAGTGATTGAGGATGAGGTATTTAGTGTCAGTTAAGAGTATGGAAAGTGATTGAGGATGAGGTATTTAGTGTCAGGTTTTTTGTTTGTTTTTTTGGGTGGGTTTTTTTGTTTGTTTTTTGCTCTCTTTATTTGGGGAGGTGGGGAAGAGGGAGACTGTGTGGTTCTTCTGTTTTTTTTCTTTTTTTAAGAGTGGATCTGAATTAATTAATATAGAGCCCTTATTCTAGAAGATGTTATGTTGTTTGTTTCTGTTGTTAGGTGCCATCGAGTTACTTCCAACTCGTAGTAACTCCATGTGACAGAGTAGATCTGCCCCATATAGTTTTCTAGGCTGTAATTTTTATGGGAGCAGATGCCACATCTTTCTGCCTCGGAGCCGTTGGGTGGGTTTTAACCACCAACCTTTTGGTTAGCCGATGAGCACTTAACCGTTGTGCCACCATGGCTCCTTTATTATGTTATAGGGGACTATGTAAGAATTTCAAGCTACATAAGTTTCCAAGTTCATTTGGAAGAATGAAGAAATAGAGAAGGATAAAATAATGAATAAATACTCTAAAATGCAAACATTCCAGGTTGTTTGAGAATGCCACAACCTTTGTAAAGGGATGGGGCAATAATGGTGCTTTATATTTGTGAGGCCTTTTATTGTTTAAAAACTATTTCACAAATGTTGGTTAAATCTCAATTATATGAGGTAGGCAGAATGATGGCTGTTGTTCCAAGATTGTAGATCCATAACTGAGGCTCATGCAGGCTAAAAGTATTAGCCCTGATCACACAGTTTGTAAGTGGGAGAACTGGACCTGGAATCCAGGTTTCCTGATCCAGGGCACTTTGTACAAAGAGATTTTGCAATATATAAGTCTAATAAGTAGTTGTAACTAAGGTAGTTGAGTCACCCCTTTTAACAAGTTCTAGTGATGGCACTGGCATCAAATAGATATGTGATATTGTACAAATCTCTCAATTTCTTTGGGTCTCAGTTTCCTGTAAAAAAATGGAGGTGGAGAGTACAAATCACTCAGTGACCCCAAAGGCTCCATATATGCTAACCTGTGGCTCTAAAATCCTGTGGAATGCTGGGCCACAGAACTCCAGAGAGTTTTTTAAACCCTAATGTCTTAAACCCTAACTTCTCAATGATAGGAACAGTTTTGTGAGAGTGGTGACACAGCAAATATCAAAAACACCCAAAGCAGCTTCTAGTTTCTTCTTTTATTGACGACATTAAATTCAGAGGTTCACTGCTACAGTTACTCAAGTGATTCAGGCTGAAGACTCAGAAACAAAATAAAAACAAAGCCACTGTTAAGAAGGAAGGGTACAAGTTTGCCAGATAAATAGATAGGTAGGTAGAGAGAGAGAGAGAGATTTTTTTTTTTAAACTAGGAGAGTTCAAGAGTGAATTTCTGTTTAACAAATAAATATACACGAAAGTTTCAAGGACTTATTATGCGTATGATAGCTGATCTAAAGACAACACTCAAGCTTATCTTGTTGCCACTCTCAGAAAGTGATCACAGACTACCAATGAAAACCAGTTGCTGTCCAGTCGATTCCAACTCATGGCAACTCTATGTGTGTCAGAGTAGAACTGTGCTCCATATGGTTTGCAATGGCTGATTTTCCTTTTTTCAGAAGTAGATCACCAAGACTTTCTTCTGAGGTTCCTCTGGGTGAACTTGAGTCATCAGCATTTCAGTTATCAGCCAAGCATATTAACCATTTGCACCACCCAGGAGCTCCTAATTATAGACTAGTTAATGGTTAAAAAAAAAGCTGAGTATAGAAGTTCCCGAACATATATGGTACCTTAGTGTCTCAGTAATTTTCTTCACAGCATACCTAGCCAAAAGAAATACCTAACAGTTTCGATTATTGTTAGTTCCAAACAATTTGATTGTGATAGTTCCTGTCATGTCCAACAGATGCTGATGTGTTTCCCTTGGAAATTTAAAAGAGCCTGCTATGCCCTGTGAGTAAGGTTGCTGGATAAAATACAGGATGACCAGTTAAATTTGAATTTCAGGTAAATGACAAATAATTTTTTAGTCTAAGTACATCCCACGTATTACATAGGATATACTTTCACTAAAAAAATATTAGTTATTTATCAGAAGTTCAAATTTAACTAGGTGTCCTGTATTTTTATTTGCTAAATCTAGCAACCATACCTGTGAATTCACTGTGGCTCCCTAGGGTGCCTTGGTGCATAGTTTGAAAATCACAGCCTTAGTGTCTTCTCATGGCTAATATAAAAAAATGTTTTTTTTTCTTTTTGGTGAAAATATACACAGCCAAAGATACATCATTTCAACAATTTCTGCATTTACAATTCATGACATTCATTACATTACTCAAGTTGTACTACTAGTCTCACTACTCTTTTCCAAATTATTTCACCACCATTATCTTAAACTCACTGCCCCCTAAGCTTCCAATCCAACCTTTCCATTTGCCATTGTCAATTTGATCTCACACAGATAATTCTTTAAAAGAGAACAAAGCTCAAAACAGACACACTTTACTAATTAAGATAAGCTATTTTTGGTTCAAAGAACACTTTAGAGGATAGTTTGGGGTTAAGTTTTAAAGTTTAAAGGTTATTTCAGAGCAATGGTTTTGGGGTTCATTCAGCCTCAATTGCTCCAAAAGTATACATTCCATCAAGAATTCTAAGTTCTGTTCTGCATTTTCCCCCTTTTGATCAGGATTCTTCTATAGAATCTTTGATCAAAATACTCACTAATGATAGCTGGCACCATCCAGTTCTTCTGATCTCACGGCAAAGGAGGCAGTTGTTCATGGAGACAACCAGACACGCATTCAACTTTCTCCTCTGATTCCTGACTCTCCTTCTTATTTAGAAAGACCAATTGTTGTACCTTGGATGGCCACTTGCTAGCTTTTAAGACCCCAGTCACTACACAATGAACTAGGAGGCAGAACAAAAGTACTGAGAAACAATATTAAAACCATAACCTTAAACCTTCAAACCAAGAAAACAAATTCTGTGAGGTGTTTGGTTGTACATAAGCAGCCTCAACAACTGCATTTTTTTTTTTTTGTAAAAATATATATAACACAATATTTGACAATCCAAACTTTTTCAGGTGTACAGCTTAGTGATATCAATTACATTAATCAGTTGTGCAGCCATTACCCTTAAAAGATGTTCTCATGGCTAATTTTTAATGTAAAATTCTATTCATTTTAAATTAATAAATCAGGTACAGGAATTTTTCAAAAATTTGTTTTAAAAATAAATAAATTTACCAAAATAATTTGTAAGTGAGTTTGTGACTACAGATATTTAGATTATGAAGAGTGGCCCTAATGACTAATTGACTAATGAAGGTCTGGCCCATGTATATTGAACACTGTATATTGAAACCACAATGTGGTTTCCCTAATTCATCTGAGGTCACTTGAACAAAACTTGAGAACCAGACCAAAGCTTCTGGTACCTTCCCAGGGTACCAGCTTAAGCAAATGAAGTCAGGTTGATTTTTTTTTTTTTTAATTTATCAGTCCAACTTTGTTGTTTCTTAGATATAGTTATAGTCACTTATTAGGACTGGAATTCCTTGAATTTGATAACAGAAATAGTAATTATTAGGAAGAACAGATCTAGAGGCTTCTTTACAGTGGTGCCAAACAGTAACCATTAAACTGCAACATTTTTGTTTCAGGAAGCTCAGTGGATATGCTGTATACTTTTGCCAATTGCTCAGGATTGGACCTGATCTTTGGCCTAAATGCATTATTAAGAACAGCAGATTTGCACTGGAACAATTCTAATGCCCAGTTGCTGCTGGACTACTGTTCTTCCAAGAGTTATAACATTTCTTGGGAACTAGGCAATGGTGAGTACTTCCAGGAACATTTCATTAGTAAGGAGATTGTCCTTTGGCACTAAATAATTCAAGACCATTTACAACTTTCTTTTTAATATTATCACACACACTTCTGCCTGGGTACATTTTTTTTAATTTTATTGTGCTTTAGGTGAAAATTGACAGCTAAAGTTAATTTCTCATTCAAAAATTTATACACATATTGTTATGTAACATTAGTTGCAATCCCTACAATGTGACAGCACACTCCCCCTTTCCACCCCAGGTTTCTTGTGTCCATTCAACCAATTCCTGTCCCTTCCTGCCTTCTCATCCGGCCTCTGGACAGGAGCTGTCCGCTTGGTCTCCTGTATCTGGTTGAACTAAGAAGCACACTCTTCATGAGTATTATTTTATGTTTTATAGTCTAGTCTAGTCTTTGTCTGAAGAGTGGGCTTCGGGAATGGTTTTAGTTTTGGGTTAACAGAGTGTCCCTGGGCCATAGTTTCCGGGGTTCCTCCAGTCTCTGTCAGACCGTTAAGTCTGATCTTTTTACTAGAATTTGAGTTCTGCACTATACTTTTCTCCTGCTCCATCAGGGACTCTTCGTTGTGTTCCCTGTCAGGGTGGTCATTGGTGGTAGCCAGGAACCATCTATTTCTTCTGGTCTCAGGCTGATGGAGTCTCTGGTTTATGTGGCCCTTTTGTCTCTTGGGCTAATAGTTTCCTTGTGTCTTTGGTGTTCTTCATTCTCCTTTGGTCCAAGTGGGTTGGGACCAATTGATGCATCTTAGATGGCTGGGTACATTCTTGAAAGTGCTCAACAACACAACTTTTGGAACCACTTACAGCAGAAAACACCTTTATATATCCCAGCACCTATTGTTAAACCCATTTTATGTTATGTTTAAGTTGAAAACAACCAGCTGGAGCCAGCAAACTCCACAGTTCCCAGGTTCCCTTGAGATTTTTGGAGTCATTTCAACCTGTTACGCTTGGCAGGCTGGACTCAACAAAACTGTGAAGTAGGCAGTTTGCTTTTACCTTTCCATTCCTTTTTCCGTTTCTCAATTTGTCAGTTAATTGTAGCAACCCCATCCCAACCTTTATGAAATGCTCATGCTGTCGAGAAGTTTCCTGTAAAGAATCCTACCTGGGTAAAGCTCTTGGTTGTCTCTTTCTTCCCTCTTTTTTACAAGGAATTTATGAATTCTAACAAAAGTGTTAATGATTAATCACATTCATTCAAAGCATGTTTATTGTGCTCTTTCAATATACAAGCCAATGGAACTAAAGATAAAAAGGGAAATGAACTATAACAATATGATGAGCACATACTATATGCCAGGCACTGTTCTGAGCATTTCATAAGTACTAACTTACTTTATCTTTGTAACTACTCCTGAAGTGGATATAAGGGAGCCTTGGTGGTACAGTGGTTAAAGTGCTTGGCTGCCAACTGAAAGATTGGCAGTTAGAACCCACCAGCTGCTCCACAGGAGAAAGATGTGGCAGTCTGCTTCTGTAAGTATTACAACCTGGGAAACCCTATGGGGCAGTTCTACTCTGTCCTATAGGATCACTATGAGTCAGAATTGACTTGATGGCAATGGTTTTTTGTCTTTTTGGGATTTGAAGTGGATGTAGTTACGACCCTCATTTTACAGATGAGAAAAGAGGCACAAAAAAGTTAGGAAAATAACCATGTGGCAATGTGCAACTAAGTAGAAGAGTTGGGATTTGAACCCAGTAGTCCGACTTCAGAGCAAAGCCTCTACTCTCTTGGAACTTCTCTAGAGGTATGGAGCCAGGCCAATGAGAAAACAAGCAAAGTAAGATACATGTCTATGGTAACATGTGTTATGATAAAGTCTAGAAGCAGACTTTGGGATTGGGTTGCTGAGGATAACTAGCAAGCTGAAGCACAGAAAACGAGATAGAAAGGTAGAGGCAGTCATATCTTAGTGAAGTGCTGAACAATTTTCTTACAACTGTATGAATAGATGTCCTTTAAATTCATCCTTACCCATCTATATATCCCTCACTCCTTACTTTTCTGCCCTACCCTCCCAACTCCTTTGGCTCTTCAGAGCAAGATAACAGAGTGATACCATCATGTTTCCCTCTTCCTTGGGACCCATTTACAAAGAGAAGGTCTAGTTTCCACGGTGAAGGGAAAGAACCTATATTTGTAAAGCAGATTGGTCACTTACCTCCCTTTTGTACCTCTCTTATCTCTTTGTCTTTGCTACTTCCAGCCTACTTACACATATAATTTGTGAGCAAACATTCTCGAGGCTTTCAATTCCATTGTAGAAATCAGTTTTTAAATGTCTCCCTCCCGCCCAACTTTTTTTTTTCTTAAGGAAATTAGGTTATTAAGTACTGGATACAGACTATTTTCCAAATATCCATTAGTTTAATATCCCCATTACCAAAACCCTTTTGCTATTGAGTCAATTCCGACTCATAGTATCCCCATTATTAACTTCAAATTATTTTAATACTCCCTCACATTGTTATACAATTTCAATTTTTGTTTTTTCTGAAATCTCTTTTTTGTAACTAGATATTTTACTTTTCCTGCCTTTGAATTCTAAGGTTTTGTAATTTGGAAAATATTTTGTTACTTTTAAATGCTGCTATATATTTTCTTTTCAGTAAAAAGTTTCTAGATAAGGGATTATGTTGAGAACTGCTGTCTTTCAGAACCTAACAGTTTTCTAAAGAAGTCTGGTATTTACATTGATGGATTCCAGTTAGGAGAAGATTTTATTGAGTTGCATAAACTTCTAGGAAAGTCCACTTTCAAAAATGCAAAACTCTATGGTCCTGATATTGGTCAGCCTCGAGGAAAGACTGTTAAGATGCTGAGGAGGTAAGAGCTGGAGGAGGCAGAACTACTTTTAAAAGTAAATGTTTAGAGTTTATGTTAATGTTGGTGGAATGATTTGGAAAAGGATAACGAGAATGGTTGCACAGCTCGAAGTATGTAATCAATGTCACTGAATTGTACATATAGAAATTGTTGAGATGGTATATGTTTTGTTATGTATATTTTCACCACAAGAAGAAAAAAAAAGAAATGTTTCTCTCTGGTGAAGAGTCCTTAATAGTCCACATGTTATTAATTGCCTGACTAGATTTTCTTTTTTTTACCAATGTTTACGATTGACTGACTCAGTACCAAGGGTCCTGGGGCCAATGGCACCTATGATAAAACTTATATTAGAATTAGGGAATTAGTGTTTGCCTGATCCTATAGTAGTAACCAGCTGGTTTCAAGGGAATAAAGTCCTTGGTGCATATATTAAGTTATTTTCATATGAGGACTAAGCGATGACATAATGGAATTTTTTTTCTAGTTTCCTGAAAGCTGGGGGAGAAGTGATTGATTCGGTTACATGGCATCAGTAAGTATGTCTCCTGTTCTTTCACTAGAAAAGTAGCGCTAGCTCTACTTATTACTTATTTCTGTAAAAATTATTTCCATTTAGCTGCTAATTGAGTTTTTAATTCAAACAAGAAACAAATAGTATCTCGAGCAGTATAATACTGGAATTTTTATATTGATAAAACAAAAATTAAAACTTATTCTAAAGAATATGGTGGTTTCTATAAGACCAAGGCACTTTTTATCGCTTGACCCATGGAACCAACCAAGATAATTTCCAAAGGTTGGGTAGCCCCATAAGTATCTATACTGTAATCGTGTCTTTTCAAGACAGAGTAACTATGTTCTAGTTATTTCGATGGAATGGACTCTTCTTCATGTCCCCCTTTCATCTTGGTCTCTCCCTAGTAGAACTTCTGCCTTTTGTTTTTAAATTGTAGGAGGTGGGGGAGGTAGGAAAGAGGACAAGGTCAGCCAATTAACTGAAAAGTAGAAAGTAAAGTTTATTTGTTTGTTTTCTGAATATCTCATGAATAATTTAGCTACTATTTGAATGGACGAATTGCTACCAAAGAAGATTTTCTAAACCCTGATGTACTGGACACTTTTATTTTATCTGCGCAGAAAATTTTCCAGGTAATAGTCTTTTTTTAGATATAAAACTGGAGTCCTTATTTTGTAGTCCAGCTAGTTCTAAATTCTACAGGTATATAAATTTGCATGTTTTTCTAATCTTAAAGTATCTATTGAGGTCAAGCACTATGTCTTATTCACCTTTGGTTCCCCTTTAGCATAGGACCTTACCCATATGTGTTGATTAGATATCAAAAACACTTTCAACAGCCATTTAGTAAAATTAACTATCATAGACCATAAAAATAGGTTTGTTGACATTCTTTTCACACCCTAGCATTCTGATAAAAGCAAATTGCCCAATACCTAAATGACTGTGAACATATTTTGTAACTATATTGGACAGATGGGTGCCATTCACGATGTTTTGAATGTTGTTAATCTTCAGCATCATGGTTGGTCAGTTTATTTTTCAATTACCATGGAGACTTTCCTGTTCCACAGGTTGTTGAGGAAACCAGACCTGGCAAGAAGGTTTGGTTAGGAGAAACAAGCTCCGCATATGGCGGGGGAGCGCCCTTGCTGTCCAACACTTTTGCAGCTGGCTTTATGTGAGTAAAACAGTACTCACCTCAGAGATCAGACTGCAGCCATTCCTGTACCCTCTGTTCGGTTGAAATAGCCCATCAGCCAATAGACTGTTTGTGGCTGAGCCCCAAAATTTGTGTGAGATTTTGCAAGGAAGTGATTCACTAAATCTTGTTGGACATCTTTAATGTATCCTATATTAATCATTGCAAGAATGAGTTGGTTTAAAAAAATTTTGTTCCTTAATTAAGCAAGCCAAACCAGTTGCCATCGAATTTATGACAAAGCACATTGTAAAAGAGTGCATCTCAGAACTCTTAAGTCTTAGAAGGATGCGTATTATATGCAGCCATACTCAGATTCCCAAGAAGTTTGGAGCCTCAAGTACGAGCCCACACTAGAGGGGCTTCCAATGAATTAAAAGATTTACCAGATCAACTCATTATCCAACCACCACAAGCTTGATTGCTTTAGAATACTGATTAACCTACATTTAATAATCTGCTAAACACTCTTAGGAGCCCTGGTGGTGCAGTGTTTAAGAGCTTGGCTGCTAACCAAAAGGTCGGCAATTCGAATCCACCAGCTGCTAATTGGAAACCCTATTAGGCAGTTCTACTCTGTCCTATAGGGTCACTATGAGTTGGAATCAACTCAGCAACAATGGGTTAGACACGCTTAATTTATAGCTCTATATCCTCACTTAGGATTAGGACGCATTCTCCTTCCTCTCTCATTCTCATTCTTAAAAGCCCCAAACAAAGCACAATCCTGTTGGGATGGGGGCGTGGGGTGTAGAGAAAAGAATGAAGGTGTTTGTTTTACCATTAACCAAAGATGTGAGGAGGTTCATAAAATTTTAGGTGTGATACTACTTATTTCACATTTCATTACTCAGACCTTACGTGGGGAGCAGGGGGAGAGTCGGACTATCCTCACAGGATGATGAATTGTCTGTTCAGGTGGGAATTTGTCTACTCTCCTTTGTAGAAGTTGTGTTGCCCTGCCTGAGACTCCCTGCTTTCTTGATGGTATATATAGAGCCTTCTGGGATTTGTTATCATGCTGAAGTATGGGAAGATGTGAAGGGAAGGATTCTACTGCTGCCCCATAGAGTGTCCATTTTGTTCCAATGACTCATTTATAATTAGTGCCAGTTTTTCTGGTTTCCTGCTTATGTCTCCCACATAGATGATTAAATCAGGATAGCATGTTATTAGAATGATTTTGTTTTCCAAAGCTGAAGAAAGCTGGGTCTGTCTGTGCTCCAGGTGGCTGGATAAATTGGGCCTGTCAGCCAGAATGGGCATTGAAGTGGTGATGAGGCAAGTGTTCTTCGGAGCTGGAAACTACCACTTGGTGGACGAAAACTTCAACCCTTTACCTGTAAGTGACCATCATTTTCCTATTTCTGTGAGTAGATTAGAGCATGCTGAGAGCATCTTGTCTTATTCCTATGAATAGTTAGTGATTCATTGCCCTCAATATATAGCCAAATCATAGATGATGAGTTGCAAGAGAACTTAAAGATCATCCATCCTAACATTTTTGGTTTTCAAGAGAAGAAATTGAGACCCAGAAACAACTTGTTTAATATGGGTCATTTTGGACATAGTATGGGATTTTTTTTTAATTGATAGACTTTATTTTTTAGAGCAGTTTTAGATTTGCTAAAACTAGAAAAATAATAAGCATATGGTACAAACCAAAAAAAAAAAAAAAAAACCAAACCCATTGCTGTCGAGTCAATTCTGACTCACAGAAACCCTGTAGGACAGAGTAGAACTGCCCCATAGGGATTCCAAGGAGTGGCTGGTGGATTCAAACTGCTGACCTTTTGGTTAGAAGCCAAACATTTAACCACGTGCCACCAGGGCTCCATAGAGTGGTGGATGCATGATATTACGTATCATCAAAATGCATTGGACTGTACAACATAAAGAGTGAACTCTAATGTAAACTATCGGCTTTAGTTAATAATGTATCAATATTGGTCCATCAATTTTAACAGATGTACCACAGGAATGCAAGATGTTAATAGTAGGGGAAACTTTGGGGGGGAGGGGAAAGAGGAAAGTACAGTTGTACAGTCCAATGGATTTTGATGATGCATAATGTCATGTATCCACCACTCAGTAATATACAGAATAGTTTCACTACCCTAAAAATCCCCTGTATTCCACTAATTCTTCCCACCCCATCTCCCCGCAAGTCCCGCAACCACTGATCTTTTTACTGTCTAAGTTTTGCTCTTTCCAGAATGCCATATGGTTGGAATTATATAATATATAGCCTTTTCAGACTGGCTTCTTTCACTTAGCGATATGCTTTTTTTTTTTTTTAATTTTTTTTATTGTACTTTAGATGAAGGTTTACAGAACAAATAGTTTCTCATTAATCAGTGCACATATTGTTTTATGACGTTGGTTAACAACCCCACGACATGTCAACATTCTCCTTTCTCAACTGTTCTCACTATCCTTTTCCAAATTATTCCAACACCATTATCTTCAACTCACTGTCCCCGAGGTTTCCCATCAAACCTTTTGAGTTGCTGTTGTCAGTTTGATCTCATACAGATAATTCTTTTTTTTTTTTGTACCTTAGATGAAGGTTTGCAGAACAAATAGTTTCTCATTAAACAGTTAGTACACATATTGCCCTATGACAATGGTTAGCAACCCCATGACATGTCAACACTGTCCCTTCTCAACCTTGGGTTCCCTATCACCAGCTCTCCTGTCCCCTCCTGCCTTCCAGTCCTTGTCCCTGGACTGCTGTACTTCATTAGTCCCGTTTTGTTTTATGGGGCTGTCCAATCCCTGGCTGAACGATGAACTTCGGGAGGGGCTTCACCACTGAGCTAAAAGGGTGTCTGGGGGCCATACTCTCGAGGTTTCTCCAGTCTGTCAGGCCAGTAA